TTGGTCGCCACCAAGCTTCAATATAAGGTTTTCTGAATTTCCAGGTTGTTAAACTGCCCGCTACTACAAACACAATGTGGGTAGCATTAGTAGCAGTAGTGTTGTTGATGATTGTTTGGTCAGGTAATGAAAAAGAAGATGGCCATTTAAGCTCAAAGGGCTTGAAGTTATACAGATAGGTATGACAATGGTGGTTGTTGAAGACTAGTGCATAGTAGAGAAAGAGGATGATTAAGCCTGAAATGGCAAGTGATTTACACAAGATCCCTAGATTTAGATGCTGACATTTTGGTTTAGGTTTGTAAAAGCTGATGTTATTAGTCTTACTCTCAATAGACATTTTCAAGGAGAAGCACACCAGAAAAAGTTCTGAAAAGGTATCTTTGCAAGATTGAGAGACACCACCTACACCAAATTTATAGGGTAATTGATGTGGTTCCTTGCATACGCACATAGAGACACACATATGCTTGTATGTATATATAGGAGTTAGAAGATCGTTATGCAGATATCTTACGTGCACATACCATCCAAGAAATGGACACACCATCTGCACAGAACTTGAGGCAGAAATTCTGCCGTGCCTGCCTGAGGACTGTATTATATAGGTGCTCCATGTGATTATGTATCTAGGCAATTAGATTACTTTCTAAGTCGAGCATTGATATAAAGGAAAGCAAAGGCAAAGGTATGACATATATATATACATGTATGTATGGACCCAATAACCTTTTTTAACTTGCAGTATCTCATCTCATCGATATATGGATTCTCCATGGAAAATTAATGGAGTTAGGTTAACTAGTTATCTCAAAACCTCGAGTTTATATTCAATTAATTACTCATATTACATTCTGATTCGACCTATCGTGAACACGAGAAAACTTAAAAGAGTTCAGCACCAACATTCAACTAATAGAGAATACTTTATGAAGCTCAAGTAAAATTACTTTAGTTAGAATTTTGTCTGAGAAAGTAAAGAATTTCTTATACTCTTAATCATTTATAAATCAATGTACGTGATGAAATTAAATTTGTTATTAGGTGAATTTTGTCTGGTAATAATGTACATTTTCTTTGGTACTGACTTGCGATTACTTTTTTTTTTTTAAAGAAATTCCAATGAAATTATAATAATATATTAGATCGCATGTGAAGTCAATGCACAGCAATTCTTTGCAAATGAAGTTTCAGTTTGGCTTTGGATGAAATCATACAATGGGAACCTACGTACACTTTTTGGTGACTTTATAAAGGAAAAGCTCTTTTAATAGTTTAAAAGTGTGTATATATATATATATATATATATCAAAGTTTCAACAATTATTAAAGTAAATGTTTGGCAGGTACCTTTCTTCAAAAGTGGTCGTGAGTTTTAATTTGGACTATATATATATATATATTTTGGTATTTTAATATATGAATTTATATTTAAAAAAATTAGAAAGAAAAATCTTATTGAGAAAGTAAAATCATGTGTAAGATTAAGAAAGATATTGTTAAAGGCATAATAGAAAAAGAAATTAAACTCTTGTCTCATTGGAATAGAAAATCAGATCATCGAACTGGAGAACATAAAATATTAATTAATGGACGAGAACTATTTACTTCTCCTCTAACTTGCATTGGATAAAAAGGCTTCAATGTTTCCGTGTTGACCCTTGCAATCCACGTCTCTCTCTCTCTCTCTCTCTCTCTCTCTCTCTCTCTCGGGGTAATTCCTCTGACAGTTTTGGTTTTAATTATAAACGTATTAGATAACTTTAAAAAGTTATAACGATAAATTTTCTAGTTTATTATTTTACCGGAATGGTTGTAAAATTTCTTCAAGATGATACATACAAAAGTTTCTAAATGAAATTGAACGATGTTTTTTATAAAAATATCAAAAATATAAAGTATATAACAAATTATTTTATATATATTTATATGGTAATTTTTTTTTTTAAAAAAAGATTAACCAATAGTTTTAGTCCAATAGTTACTTCTCTTATTCTCTATGTTGGAGTGATAAATTTTGACTCTTTACTATATATATATATATATATATATATATATATATTGTTACGGTAGTATATATTATCAGTGTTAAAAAGTGTTTAATTTTCACTTTTTACTACATTAACTGATACGGTAATATATACTGTCAGCATTGGTGCACAAATGTTCTTAGCTACACTAGTTAGAATTGATATACGTAATATATGTACATCATGTTACCTTATATATAAACTACACAACAAATTTGTGTTCTTCAAAATGTAGAATTCTAGTTTTATTCCAGAACATATGCATATGCATACACACACAATATCTGAAAGACGAACAAGCGTTACCACTGCCATAACATAAACCTAGTAAATACCATATTATATTTTATGAAAGCATCCAGGAACCTCGATGAATCAGTCAAATCATTTTATGAAAGCCTCGAACGTTGACCAATCTCGTCTTCTCCAACAAACCATCTGTTACAGTGACATCCAAGAGAATGATTATGGAGTTGCGGTTATTTAGTATGCCAGAAAACAGCCAAGAAATTGCCGGCTTGTTGGGAATCATTCTGCTGATGATACAATTCAGATTCAGATCTTGCTTACCTAACAGACCAAGAAGGAGGCGAGTTTCAATTCAGTTCCCTTCACAGACCAAATGTGTTCTCAGCATATGAAAGTTATTATGGCTTGCATTTCTTACAGTATCCTAATCGAAGTGATATTTAACATTTACTATCACATTTTGTTAAATTGGCACTTAAAGATCTTCTTAATTTCAACAAATCCCACCATCGCACTCTCATATTAGATAAACCAATCCGGATCTGTGAGCATTTTAATCCAAAAACTACATGGAACATTTTATAAATATTAATATGTTACATATATTTCGTCAAAATAGTTCAACCATGAATGCGAGAAAGAGCTTTGCCACTACCTGAAATTACAAGTGAGATGAGAATCTGGTGATTGAAGTCAACCTGATGCATCTTCAATTCTTCATTTGATCAACAGAATAACCCTGCATACACCAAGAGAGAGAGAGAGAGAGAGAGAGAGAGACGCCTGCTGTATAATATATACATGTATAAATCAGAGATTCTTGTATTTATTCATATGGAGAATTTCAAACTTACAAATTTCATAAATACAACCTTTTCCCCCTAAAATTTTCATGATCGTCAGAAGAATAACTTACAATAGACTAGATAGACAACTATTTTACCAAGGTGCATGTTACAACCAACTTAAGTTGGTTTTAATAGAGA